GGCAAGTGCCTATATCCCTGGATTTTTATTATTCACACTTGTGCAGGGAATAATGAGGGGAATTCTGAAGGGAATAGCATGACACTATGCTCTGGGACCTAGAGACACCTGATGAGAAATTTTAAACTGAATAGAACTTTTTGAATCTATAAAGATTCAGTGTTAGGTCTATGACATATGATGTAAACATAGACGCTGTAATGTCTTCACTCAAGGGACTCATCAAACCTGGGAGAGCTCACAAAGGAGAGAATAATTTTGTATGTTTCAAATGCCTTTTCCCAGAATGCGAGGCATTAAGATTCTCATGTGAGTGAGTGGTGTATTGATGCTCATATAACATTGTTATTTCCATTTGTCCAAGGAGAGAACATTTTAGGGAAATGTTCAAACTGAAATTTTGTCGTGTACCAGAATACATCTTTTAGAAGTTCAGAGTCAGATCTTCACTAACAGCTAATACTCATTCATGATCAGAAACTTCGATCCTGTAAGACATTGGAGAGAAAGGGCCTGTGGTTCAACATCAGTGACATAACAAGGAGGAAAAGAAAAAACGTGAGCATGGAATCTTCTTTGTCTTCATAATTTCTCTTCAAATAAAGAGCAAAATGAGTAATGGGTTCAGGAGAGCAACACTTATTTATTGCTCTTTTCTGCCCGGATCCTTTTTGAAGATTAAAAACAGGGAGGGAACGGTGTTTGGAGACTTTGGGAGTTCTATCAGAATTCTCTCAGAGCAGATACACATCAAGGACAGACAAAGAATAAACAGGGATCACTCAGGAATCAATATGGGAAATGATGCTTTTTGAATGCATTTCTGAGTGACTTCAGACGACCCTGAGCTTATAAATTGGAAGCTCTAGCTGGCCTTTTGGAGTCAATGACAGGTTTCCTTGTTAATGTGATCATTTTATTGATGTTTCTATAGATCTACTGGTTAAGAAAATGGTCATGGAGCATAATTCTTCAGTGACCGAGTTCATTCTTAAAGGATTAACTGATCAACCTGAGCTCCAGCTGCCCCTGTTTGTCCTGTTCTTGGTGAACTACACAGCCACCGTGGTGGGAAACTTGAGCTTAATGAGTCTCATCATTCTGAACTCTCACCTTCACACTCCCATGTACTTTTTCCTCTTCAATCTGTCCTTCATTGATTTCTGTTACTCATTTGTCTGTACTCCCAAAATGCTGATGAGTTTTATTTCAGAGAAGAACGCTATCTCCTTCACAGGGTGCATGACTCAGCTGTTTTTCTTCTGCCTTTTTGCCAGTTCTGAGTGCTATGTGCTGACAGTCATGGCCTATGATCGCTATGTGGCCATCTGCCAGCCTCTACTGTATGTGGTCATCATTTCCCCTAGGACCTGCTGTCTGCTGGTGTTTGGTTCACACTTGATGGGGTTTGTTGGTACTGGTGTTCTCACAGGGTTTATGGTCAAGCTGAATTTTTGTGATTCCAACCTCATTAACCACTACATGTGTGACATCTTCCCTCTCCTAGAGCTCTCCTGCAGCAGCACCTATGTCAATGAACTCCTGAGTTCTGTTTTTATCAGCACAGTAGTAATCATATCTAGCCTCATTATCTTAACCTCTTATGTTTTGGTTCTTTTTAATGTCATTCAGTTGTCATCGGGTAAGGGTTTGTCCAAAGCTATGAGCACGTGTAGTTCTCACATAATAACTGTTGCCTTATTCTATGGATTTGGTACACTTACTCATATGAAAGCATCATCTGCCGAATCTGTGGGCCAGGGAAAATTTTTCTCTGTATTTTACACTTTTGTGCTGCCCTTGTTGAACCCCCTCATTTATAGTCTCAGGAATAAGGATGTCAAACTTGCTCTAAGGAAAACAGTGAAGAGACTCACAGTGAGCAAACTAATGGGGCTTCCATAGTCTATGTCTTTCATTCAGGGCTGTCTCTCCACTTTTCTTTCTTGTCACCTTTTATGACACCTTTCCTTCTTTCTTTCTTTATCCCTGGGAGTTTTTTCTTCCAATATCTTTTCTTCTTCCTCCTTGTTATGCGATTATGTTATCCTATTCTTGACCTGGGGACTCATCCTGAGCCTGAGGTGGGTCCAACTTAGACTTATTTTTTGTACAAGGAAGATACACTGGAGTGATATATTTTCATGTATAAAGATAACTTACTATTTATCCTCATAGCTCTTCTACATCCAAGGAATGCCAGGGAGCTGAAAGCCTTCTAACAAGTTCAAATCTATTTTGTGTTTGAAGGATAATTTTGAGAGATTTTCCTGTTCAGGTTTTTTTTTTTAATTGCATTAAATGAGGGACTAGATGACAAAAATTGTTAACTTATAAAGTTGTCAAGATTTCTATCATTATTCAGTGTCTTTCAACAATGTTTCTTGTTGTGCGGGTTGGAGAGAAGGCTCAGCATTTACAAGCCATTGCTTCTCATCCAGAGGACCCATATTCATAACAGCTATTACTCCAGGTCCAAGGAATTCAACACCCCTTTGGCCTCCCCAGGCACTGTACTCACATGATGTACTTAGGTGCAGGCAAAATGCTCAAACATAAAATAAAAATAATTACAAAGAATGCTTCTTATTGTAATTTTGAACCTCATATTTGCAATGTTACTATGTATTTTCTTAGAGCACTATTCAATTTTTATAGATATTTGATATTGAATTAGACATCTATATCCAGATTTCTCCAATATGACTAATAATGATACTGTTTTGGTGAAAAAATATTTTGTCATAAATACAATTGAAATTGTCACTTTTTTAAATTATGGAGTATGTCTGTGTTTTAAGAAACCCTACAATAATTTGGCTATAGAATATGACATAATATGTAATGTCAAAAATTGTCAATTCTTTTTGTTATATAACAAGGTTGTTTTTTGCAAACAAAAGTCTACTTATTAAAACAAATTATAGCTGCCATTACAGTCCAGTAGAAGAATGCACATTTATGTTTGATTTTATGATTTACACACATATGCACACACATACACACAGACACACATGTACACACATATATACATATGTGTATTTATGTATATATCTTATATATTCGTATATGTAGTTTTGGCATTAATAATGGGAAACTAGAATTTTTCTTTTAATGTGTAAATTTTCATTTTATCTTTTGTTTATTACTAGGCAAACCCCCACCCAAATGCCCTTGCAATGTCATAATCTTTTTAAAATCTTTTATTTATTATTTTATGTGTTTAAGTGTATTGCCTGCATGTGAGTGTACCCATGTCACACAGTGCCACGGAGGTCAGAAAAGGGCTTCAGATTCCCCTGGAACTGGAGTGAAGGACTGTTTGTAGCTGCCATGTGGGTACTGGGAATTGAACCTGGGTCCTCAGCAAGAGCAGTCAGTGCTCTTAACTGCTGAGCCATCTCTCCAGCCGAATAGATTCTTAAATATAGTGTTAAACATATATTTTTTTTTTGTTCTGTGGATTCAGCTTGCATTAGACCATATAGCTAATGGTATAGATTCTAGTTTTTAACCATTATGCATTTCATAAAGAAACAGAAACAAAGAGAATTGTGATGTAAGAGAGTTTATATCTAGAGAATTGTTCAGAATGAGTCCAAATAGTGGGAGAACCTGGTGCCCACTACTGGCAATGCCTTGGTAAGATCTGCCTACGACATGATGATCCAACGGCTTCTTGGCTGCCACCAGGTCTTCTGCTTTGGGCCCTGGAAGCCCACAGTTACTTAGACCCACATCGTGAATTCAGTAGCTGGAGGAGAGTAGTGAGGATTTGGGACCAGATATAGGACACACGCTAGGCTAGGTGGGAAGCAGGGTTAACTCTGTGCAGACTTTAGGATTCCTTTCTGTGGAGGATCAGTCTGTGAGATCACATTGCCGATTGATATATTCAGTCAGCTGATAAATTGCTTATGCCATCTCTTCCTCAAATAATGGTTGGAAACAACCTTTAAGATTCTAACATGGCTTTGACTTTGGGATTAAGTGCAATGATATAGATGTATTACCATGTAAGACACCCATGAATAATTTCTTAAAGTAGTCTGTGCTGAAAAACAGGAGGAAGATGTACACTCTACCAAGGTTATTAAACTGCATACCCATTACACAACAGATTATAAAGAAACATGGTTTGGAGGATTCCTCAAATTAAATGTTGCTCCTAAACACATCACAGATATTCAGAAACACTGAAAACCAGAGACCAGACTAAGAAGATGTTCTCCTGTTTGAGGATGAGCTGCATGTTCATGGACTTTCAGTTCTGAGTGTGAAAATTAAAGCAGTGCCTTCCCACTGGTTTCTGCTATTGAGGGTTGTCTTGAGAACTGACAAGGTGAATGAATGGCAGGATGCTTTACCATGTGGCCAATAAGACTTACATGTTATGAGAATGTATATTTCAGTAAAGAAAAAATTTCTAATTTAATGCATGTATTCATTTCCTCTTCTTGTAACCTAATGAAATTACCAATAAAGGATACAGTTTGTGGAAAGGAAATATTTCCAGAAAGATTGTTTCTATCCCTGCAGATTCATAAGAAGGTACTAGCGGGTAGTAAAATATGATACAGTTTATACTTACTACATAAACTGAGCATTTTGGGTATCTGTGAGGGGGCATTTTTAGTATGAAAATTAATCCCCTTGCCTATATACAGATCTCCTGTGACTTTAAAGGGGAAGCAATGAGAAACTGTAGAAAGATCATTCAACTGCCATTTGTTTTGACTATCTTTAAATTCATACTCAAGAACTTATATGTTCAGGAATTGAATTTATATTTCTAAATGATCATACTGTGTGACCTCAGCAGTGGTGATGTGTGTCCAATGAGCACTGGACATAATCTAACCCTACCACGAAACATTGCCAGTTCTATTGTGAAGCGCTAATGCAACTCAATTAATCTCAAAGTCTGTGACTTTTATAAGATTCTGTTATGCATGTTGATGTACCAGCTCCTGGGTTTTCTGATGTTTATTCACACTTCTGGAGAGTTGTAACCTATGATCTTGGAAATCAATCTTATAGTTTAATGATCTTCACACATAAAATTTTAAGAATGTATTTATCCCTTAAATTTAAGTTAGCCTTGTCATTTAAGGAATGTTTTAGATGCACAACCAAAAAAGCCTAATGTTAGATAACTTAAGGCACATTCATGGAAACCTCTGAACAAGTTTCCTTAGGATCTCAGTGCTACCTTTCTTCCATCTTTAGGTGCTTTCCTGCATAGAACTAGGTAGTAAAGAAGGTCTACAAAATTAGGTCTCAAATATATTTGCCAATTTTGATGATGATCCTTAAATTTTTTAATATTCTTCTCTGCCTTTCTAGATGATTTTTTACAAGGAAAATGATGTAAGCCCCAAGTAAGGAACTAGATGAAATGACACTAAGCAACAACAACAGCAACAACAACTCCTTTAAATGTTGGGGGGAAATGCACAATATCTGTTCATGTCTAGAATAGCTGTTGTATATATTTCTTCTTACTGGATAAAAGGTTAATTAAGGACATTTAACTGAGAATATTAGAAAAGCTCTTCAGGCCAGAAAATTAATTCTAGTGAATTATACTTAGATATTCACCATTACTCAAACATTGTTGTGAGCCAAACAGGCAGGATTTCATTTAATAGTGAAATGTGTCCACATATATTTCTGTTATTTGTATGTCTTTTTGAACATTGTACACACACACACACATATTTGGAATTTTTACCACAGATATTGTATGTATATGTGACTTGGTTGGAAAATTGCAATATGTTTTCCAAGATGTTTGCATAATTTTATTTCTATTTTATTTTTTTTTTAAATTTTGATTTATTTCTTTTTATTTTGTATGTATCAGTGTTAGGCCTGCGTGCATGTAAGTGTGCCCATGTAATGCAGTACCTATGGAGGACAGAAGAGGTGTCAGATCCCCTGGAACTGGAGTTAGAGACCACTGTTAGTCGCTACGTGGATTCAAATCTGGGTCTTCTGAAACAGCAGCTAGTACTCTTAACCGCTGAGCCATCTCTCCAGCCCCATCATTTTACTTTTATAATAGTGCATGAGTATTCCAGTTGTTTCACATCTGCATTTGTGCCTGGCATTGTCAGCTTTGTTACTAAGATAACTGTTCAAATCTGTGCTGCTTGATGGAAAGATAGTTTTACATATTCAATACATAGACAGTTTATGAAGAATGGTATAATGGTATAAAACTTCTTTTGTTTGCAGATATAATAGCTTGTAGAGATTTTTAATATATTGATAACAATCACTAAAACAAGTCCTGGAACTAAATGAACAAGAATATAATAGGATATATTATAGCATATATATAAAGCATATATATACATATATATATGCTTCCTATATAAGAGCAACAGCCATTTGAAATTAAAAATAATATCATTGTTGTTAGTATGGAAGTGTAGAGGAGAGATACAGCAACATAGAAGATCTGAGTAGAAACTGTTGAAGGTCATGCAGAAGATGTCATCCTTTGGCTGCAAAATGCTCATGTGCTTGTAAACAGTTCCTATCTGGTTGTGCTATTTTGTATGGTTGGATCCTCACTAGAAAAAGTGGACTGTCATGAAAGGATTTGAAGGTTATATCCACTTGGTGTTCTGGCCTAGCCTCTCTGCTTCTTGGTCAGCTTCATGTGAGAGGTTATCCCTGCATATTCCTGCTGCCACAGGCAAATGGAGCTTCTCCCACTGTGTCTTCCCTGCCAATGATGGACTGAAATCCCATGAAACTGTGAGACAAAATAAACCCTTTGCCTTTATGTTGTTGCTGTTACTATTATGTTATGTACAGATGGTGAGAACAGTAA